TGCACTTAAGAATTGAGGAATTCTTGCCGGGCTCTACCTGAATGTTTGCACAATGCTTGACCTGTGACCTTAAATTTACAACTGTTGGCAAGAAATAATCTTTTCCAATCCCATTGCTTTGGGACTGTTGGCAGAAGACTGCTTCTTCATTCCCAGTATTCTTAGACTGATGTGCCATTTTGATAGACACCTTTTTGTTTGCCCATCACTGGTTGTTTTAGTCCCTGAATATACAAAGTAGCAAAACCCAGAAACAGCAGGATTCTCCAACTTCCTCCTCAATACAGTAGTGCCTCGCAAGACAAATGTAATGAGCAAAACCCAGAAACAGCAGGGTTCTCCAACTTCCTCCTCAATACAGTGGTGCCTCGCAAGACAAATGTAATTCGTTCCGCGAGTAGCGCTATCTTGCAAAAAAAAAATCATCTTGTGAAAAGCGTTTTCCCATAGGAATGCATTGCAATGCATTCCTCTGAGAACCTCCCAAGACGAATGAAATTTTTTTTGTCTTGTGAGGCATCAGTCTTGAAAAAAAAACCACGTCTTGCGGAGCATGGCCATAGAAGAAGCCATTTTGCGAGGCACCATAGCGATCGCAAAAACCATTCGTCTTGCAGGTTTTTCACACGTCTTGTGGAGCATGGCCATAGAAGAAGCCGTCTTGCGAGGCACCATAGTGATAGCAAAAACCATTCGTCTTGCAGGTTTTTCGACCCACGAGGCGTTCGACTTGCGAGGCACCACTGTACTTGTTCCAAATCAGGGGTGACTAAAATGGGCAGGTTTGCCTTTTATGTGCACATTTAAGTGTATATTTTCTTTAAATGTAGCCACTTTGGGGCACATTTTTAAAAATGTTTTCATTAAACAGTGAGCTTATGCACATTTAAAAAAAACTGTGTATGTTTCTTGTACAATCTTCAAATGGATGCAATTATCAAGGAAATTTATTTATAAAATATGTATTCTTAAATGTTAAGATCTCCAGTTGCAAAATTCATTCAAGTTTGGGAGGCGTGAATAGGATAAATGCTGATCAAAAATGAACAGAAACAAAGCTTTCCCCCTCAAAAGTTTCTATAAAGCAAAGCAAAAGCAAAGCGTGCTGCTTATATACCGCCCCATAGCGCTTCAAGCAGTTTACAATTTAATTATGCAGGCTACACATTGCCCCCCCAGCAAGCTGGGTACTCATTTTACCGACCTCGGAAGGATAGAAGGCTGAGTCAACCTTGAGCTGGCTACCTGGGATTTGAACCCCAGGTCGTGAGCACAGTTTTAGCTGCAGTACAGCGATTTAACCACTGTGCCACGAGGCTCCTTATAAGCGATATCCTAACTCTTTCTTAAGACCATTACAAGATCTGGGATGGATGAACATTGTTATTTGTACCATTGTAGAATGTTTTTGGGCTTGGGGGATAGTTCTGAGATGAATGCCACAGAGCAATACCAATCAGTTTTCAGATTTGCCTTCTTTATTTTTCTTTCATCCAGGGCGGCGCCATTTATGGCCTCTGACTTGCATTTGAAAGCACTGCGGTATAGATTTGTAATGCAGGCATTCCATGTGGCCGCAAGACAGGTGACAAACAGGTGATCTGCTCTGCTCATATGATCTAAGAAAAGCCATGGTACCCCGGTGAGTGCTTCAAAGGCGAACATTTCTAAGACACATAGAGAATACGGCAAGAAACAGTGTTAGCAATTCAGCTGATATAACATCCTCTTTGTTGCATGGATCAGCTTGGCTCTAGGTCATGAAGGTTGAACACTATTTGCCAAGAATTAGCCACACAAGAAACTGCTTTGTACTAGAAAACTGCCCAGAGAAATTTAAACAAACAAAATATAACAGAAATATAAGCAAACAAATGTATAGCAGGCCAATTTGTCCATGTGGCCTAATCCAATCTGTTACTGGGACTGACTTTTTCAATCCTCTGTTATCTGAGCTGTTTTTTAAAAGAATGGTAATGTGTGTGTTATGTGTTATCGAGTTGCTTCCAACCTATGATGGCTCTAACAGGGCTTTTGTGGTATATAAGATATTCACAGAGCAGTTTACTATTGCTAGTCCCCTTAAGTTTCCATGGCTCTGGAGGGATTTGAATTTGGATCTCCTGAGTCTTAGTACAACACTGTATCCAGAACATGACACTGGTTCTCATAAACCTAGAGATACCAGGCATTAAATGTAGGCCTATCCACATGCAGAATTCGGCACTAATATAACACAGTCAATGAAATTATCAATTCAGCTGGACATTTACTAACATAAATGGGCATGCAATATTAAAATGAAAGGGATTGACTTAGACTGGAATTGTCACATGAACATTTTGCACTATTACATTTCAATTAGCTTTAGTGAGGTCAGCAAGAGGAACAACAAAAGCTGTCGCTTCCAAATGACAAAAGCTATTGCTGCCTGTGAAGCTGTGAAATTCGATAACTCTCCATGCTTTCTAGAAAGCTATCAATGCCATTTTTATTGTGAGGATAAAATGATGGGGAGAAGATCCATGTGCACTGTCTTCAGCTCATTGTGAGGAAAGTGGTGGTAAGAGTGTAAATAATAACACTATATTGATAATAATAATAATCTTAGACCTGCAGAGCTGGAAGGGACCCTATGGATCATAAAGTCCAGCCCCTGTCAAGGAAGCACAGTGGGGAATCGAACTCGTAACCTTTAACTTGCAGCCAGATGCCTAAAAGCACTGATTACAGCTGACAATAATATACTCCGAGATGTTGTTGGTGTTGTTGTTGCTGCTGCTGCTGCTGCTGTATTATTATTATTATTATTATTGTTGTTGTTGTTGTTGTTGTTGTTGTTGTTGTTGTTGTTGTTGTTGTTGTTAACCTGGGGGAAAGCCTGAGTTGAGTCACTGGTGCAACTTAAGTGCAACTTGACAGCAAATCTCACAATTCAAATCCTCAGCCCTGATTTGGATTTTTTTAAAAAAATCTTTCTGTTCTTCACTGTGCATTACCCACCCTGATGAAGAGTTTTAATGTAATGTAAAAGAAAGGAATAGGGAGAGGAGGAATAGGGTCCAGAGATCCAATTACAAGAGAGGGGGGAAAAGGAAAGCAAGAAAATGGCTTTTGGCATACAAGAACTGGGGATTTTCAAAGATTCACACAGCTGATTCTTTCTCTCCAAAGCTCAAAATAAGGGCAAGAGGTGGTGGTGAGGAGTCAGATCATAGATGGGATTCCTCATCTTCATTCTGGTAAACTAATGTAAATGTAATCACCCATTTAAAATGAGTACAAGTATTAAAATTTTCCCTTTTCAATCTAAACATATTTTATTAGACTTTTTAGCTTATTCACAATAATTGAATGAGTGACTATTTTCCAGGAAACTTTCTACTTTCTGTCCACATGAAAATCTTCCACTCTACAGTCTCTTCAAAACTAGAGTTTGAGCATATCTTGGCGCCACTAGCTTCCATCTGAGATTTCTCCTTCCCTGTTAATTCATCCGGTTCTAGCTAGGGCCATGTATTCATATGTGCTGCTAATACTGAGCAAGTGCTTTCAGGCTTGGATCTAAAAACCCCTATTGCTTCAACCATATCCTTCATTGTATATTTGTTAAGTTTTAGCCTCATTGGATAAATATTCCCCTTTACTGCTACATACTTATATATACCCGGAAAATATCTACATCGTTTCATGCTGTTGATCATAGGAGAGCAGTCAGCTGGATCATGTGAAAGTTCAGAGCACAATACATTCCTTTGTCTGTAAGGCAACACCAAAGATAATTTATGCCTACAGAAGACAATGCAAATTTGGCATCCCTCAGCGGTGAAATGTAATAGCATTTATGGCTGAAAATTATGTATGTTGATGGCATTCCAAAGTCTGCTGCTAAGGACAACATCTGCTTACTAGTAAGGCCAGCTTTGGCTGCTTCAGCACTTCTACTTTTTGCTGCCCAGGTCTCCATGAGGAGAAACATGTCCAAATAAATGCTGAAAGTAATATAAAAGATTATCACTAGAAAGCTGGCATATCTTGGAAGAAGACCATAAATACCTCAAACAGAAATACTGGCCATTAAGGTATAGCTTGGCAAACTGGCTCAGTGCCAACAAAAATAATACCAAGATGGTATTAAAATACTTAAGGTTGTTGAGAAACCTGATGGATCATCTTCCAGAAGACAATGAATTGATTTGCCCCCCCCCCCCACAAAGGCTGAATTCACATGGTGAATCCACCATGACATGTTAACAGCTGGAACTAGATACCAACATCATGTGGGTGGCTCATACAGTATTTGAAGAACCAAGCCAGCAGAACTAGGCATGCTGGGAATGGAATGGATATCTGTTTTGGCCCTGTTCATGTTGTGCCACTCAAATTTCCTTCAGCCAGTATGGACAGTGGTGAAAGACAATGAGCAGCAAATTCTGGGGGGCTTCAGTTACTCCATTCTCATGTTATACAATCCTCATCCAATGGTCATGCCAGTTGATATTGCCATAATGGACAAACCAGACCAGGCAGAAATGGTTTTGGCAAGAATCATACAGCACCGTTAACCTTTAGAATGAGTCCCGATTTCAGTACTACATTTCTGTATTTTGCTCTTTTCCTTTGGGAAAGTTTGAGCCCAAGATGTAGCTCATGCTTTTTAGTCAGTCACTACCAGGTTCAAATCCTGCCTCTCTAGGTATGGGTGGGAAATCCTCTGCCTGACACTCTCAAGACCTACGGCCAGTCAAAGCAATTCTGACTCAACACAGGACAGCTTCGTACCTCTTCTTCTCCTGTCCTAAGGCATACCTCTCTTAGGTGAGGTTCAGCAATATTTACCCAATGGGAAAAGGCAGGCTTCCAAATAGGAAGATCAGCAAAAGCCAAGAGTGCAATACAGAGGACGCTGTACCAAAAATGCATTGGAAAAGAGCAGGTAAAATTGCCTTTGGTGATGGCAGCAATGCAGCATCAAGCAGAGAAAGGCAGAGGGCTCTTACTGCAGCAGGTGCATCTGGCTGGCCTCCTTTTGTTTTTCAGGTACCTCGTAGTGAGGAGACATCTTCCCCAGGCCACTGTCACTCAGCATACGCTTTCGAACAGCAGGATTATACTGATCTGATACTCTGAGGAAAATATATCCGAATGGAAAACGCTGTTAGTCACAGGACATGTGTTCCTATTCTATGTAGCTATTTATTCTTAGCAGCAAGGGTGGGCCCTTTGAGTCCATTTTTAAATTGTATATTTGGGATATGGTGTCGCAGGCCCCTAGCACCCTCCACACATCTCAAATTTAAATTTTAAAAATTGCCTCAAAAATCCTTTGGGGTCATGGGACCATTTTTTGTCATATTTTGAGGACCACCCAGGGAGCCCTGTAGCCCTCCTCACTTCCAAAATTTTTAAAGAAAAATATTTTTGGCCACCAAAGGACAAAATTGAGCCTCTCCAATTTTTTTGCAAGAAAAAAAGAGGGGCTTTTGTTTGTTTGCTTGTTTTGCAAGTGTAGCTCTCTAAGATCCAGTGATTGGTCAATGAGGCCACTGGACCTCTGGAAATTGCCCACCTCATCTTACAGCTTACATTGCTCCTTATTTCTATATCTCAATTCTATAAAAGTTGTGTTGTGGCTACACTTCTCTGCTCCGTGTCCTGCTGTTGCTGCTGCTAACACCAATCTGAATTATTTTGTTTTCCCACATCACTAATGACATTTAAACTCCCCCAACCCGCTACTTCCAAGATGTGTTGGACTTTAACCCCTGGACCACCACAACCATCTGTTCTAACTGGAGGATTCCAGGACTAGCAGTCTAACACATATAGAGGGCCCTAAGGTGGGGCAAGGTGCATTAGGAATGCATTCATTGCTCATACAAATCGCTTGCAAACCTACTTTACTGTCAGGGCTTCCAAACAAGGAATTTGGAATGGTCGTATGTGGAGAAATTGAGATCAGCCATTTTAAAAGAATCTCTGTCAAAGAACCTTCCTCACACCCATACAACTAATAGCTCAGTAGACGGTTTAGGACATGGATGGAAATGGTGTTATTATAGCAAGACCCAATCCCCCTTAAGGCCCGAGGGAGAAAAAGAGAAAAGAGGAAGAAGAAAAAAATCACAGCCCCAATGGTGCAATTCTTCTTTTGCTGGTTTTTTTTTCTTCTTTTATTTTTATTTTTTAAATGGCCCCCATACTTCTGTACAAAACAAAACCTGGAAGTGATTTTTGAAAACCGGTGTAATGTCTAGTTACATATGAAGGCACTGTTCTGGCCAACAGAAAATCCTAAGGCTGGAAAATGTATCTTGCCTACCCTTATTTTAAAGAGGACAACAGCCAGTCAAACTGGTTAAATGGATATACCCTTGCTTAGTAGACTTGATCAATGAAAGCTCACGTTAAACTATAGCAATTATTTTTTAAAGTGCCACAATGTTGTTGTCTTTTTGGTTTGGTTTGGTTTGGTTATTGGTTTGCCCTTTTGTCTGATTTGTGTATCTGGAATAAGAGGTGCATAAATATCTGGAGTCACCAATAGATGAAACATTAGAACTTGTATTTGGTATCTGGCCTGCCAAACAGTGGACATAGGAAAGAACTATGTTTGTGCCACATTTTTTCTGATGCAATTCATCGGATGCAGTCCATGGGATTACCGGCAGATTGGAATGCATCCCTTCTCTGAAAGAAAAAATGTATACAGAAAAGAGGTTTATGGTGGTTGGGGTGCAGATTGATGGTCGCCCAATCATTATTTGAAAGCCTCCAATGACAGAGAACCAACCACCTGTCAAGACAGTCCATTCCACTGCTGAACAGCTGTAATAGTAAAATAATAGAAGCAACAATAATAATCAGTTGCAGATTTCAGAAGTAACATAATCTGAACAAAGAAGTACCAGTTGCAGATTTTAGAAATAACATCAAAGCTACAAAACACCACAATATTAGGAACAGCATATATGCTACATCGATATCTGACATATACTTAGGCTTTTGGTTAAAACTGGTATCTGTTATATACTACCAGTCAATAATTTTTACAATTTGATTGACTGTGCCTGATATTTTTGAATGATGATGATATGCCATCAAGTTAATTCCGACTTACAGTTACCCTTTTCAGGGTTTTCCAGGCAGAAAATACTCTGGTTTACCATTTATGCTACATTGATATTTGACATATACTTAGGCTTTTGGTTAAAACTGGTATCTGTTATATACTACCAGTCAATAATTTTTACAATTTGATTGATTGTGCCTGATATTTTTGAATGATGATGATATGCCATCAAGTTAATTCCGACTTACAGTTACCCTTTTCAGGGTTTTCCAGGCAGAAAATACTCTGGTTTACCATTCCTTTCTTCTGGGGGTGCCTGAGACTGTGCAGCTTGCCGAAGGACACAGCAGGGAAACAAACTCTCAGCCTCTGTCTCTGGAGCTGGACACCTAAACTATGGAGCTATCTAGTCAGTTCTTTATAATGTTTAGTCCAAATTTCCTTTCTTCTAAGTTCGATCTATTAGTCTTAGCACTAAGAAGATGGAGCTGTCATATGGAGAAGACCCCAATGAATGTGGACAAAGCCATGTGCAGTTCTTGGAGAATAGTATCCTAGAGAAAGAATCCTTACCCAGAGGCCTGCTCCACTACCAGATCTGGCATTCCGAGAGGTGTCCCTGCTGCCTGAGTTGCCACCAGCTCTGGGTCCAGGATAAAAATCTCGTCCTGCGAAATTTCCGTCACAAAGTGCAAATGTTCCTGCAGCAATGGCATGAAAGCGAAGAGCCACAGATTATGCATTGAACAAAGTACCCTTATCCAGAAGTAAAGACCCATTGAGCAAAATGAGGCTTTCTGACAAATATGTCTTTTTGCGATTTTCAATTATGTCTAGGGAACTGCACTCAGAGCAGCCTTCCTCAACTTGGTACCCTCCAGAGGTGTCAGTGTATGAACCCCATCACTAGCTACACAGTGATGGTCACAAGTGATGGCACCAAGCTGGGGGAAGGGGCAAACGGGGTCATCATCAATGATGCATGAGATCAAAAAAAATCCCACCCATTATCCCTCCTTATTGATAAAGAAACACAGCTGCACAAACTTCACACCAGGCATTCCTATTCCCAGCACTTATAAAATGCAGACTTAACCCTGTGCATGATGACTGGGTGTCATTAGCCAATGAACAGAATCCTGCTGGAGATTCAACCATGTGCAAGAGAAATTGCAGAAGCTACCAGGGCTAACTAATGGGCTTTTAGTTGCATGTTGGCTGCAAACCCTCCATGCGTGCAGCACTTTTCTAGCACCTTATCAATGAGCTACAGCTAGTCATGGTAACATCTATAATTCCTTGGGCAGATATGTAAATATCCAACTGGATTTTGGTCAGTGAGTCAATAGGGACAAACCTCCAGCTGACCACAATGAATCTAGCAGTTCAGAGGGGATACCCTTAAATCCAATGGATAACACATTGGAACTGGACTCCTCGAAAGAATCTGTCACTTGTTAGTTATGGATTCCTTGTGTGGCCTTGGAGGTCCCCATCTCTCAGGCTCTGTTCATATCTATTAAATGAGAGAGGCAACAACCGAGGGGTGCTTGTGGGAATGAAAGGACACTAAAGCATGATTTCCATTAAAACAGCAACCCTCTGCACCCACTGAATTCACTGAGAATCATTTCCAACCATGCAAGCCAAGAATAAAGCTGCACCCATTCTACAGAATTACAGCCAGCAAATAGATGTTGGATACTGCAGTGGATGCACTGATGCAACCAGCTTTTCTTGTTTCAAAAAGGGGCAAGCACACACAGTTGCTTTGTGCATCACCGCTGCATAGCCACTGAATGATTTTTAAATAATAATAATAATAAAAACAAGCCCAGCCAGAACAGCTTCCTCCTGTTTTGAAAACTTGCATAGTTGTTACTCTCAGTTTGATCTGTTTTTAAAGGCTGGTGAATATTTCGTACAGGTCTGTAATATTATCATAATTTGCTGAGTTATCTTATCTTTAACACAGAGGATTAGGATTTTAGGAGGACTGTAAACAGCAAGAGAAGATAAACTCTGAGATTTTCTTTTTAAAACGCAGCTGTCCCGGGCATAACAAGATAAGGGGGGGGTGTTGATAAAGGGAACAAGAAGTTGTGGTATTATACATCAAACTCGTTTAAGCCAGAAAGGCAGAGATGATCCATCTGTTCTTTGACTTTGTTTGCCTTGTGCTAATTTACAGAGGGCATTTTGTTTAATTCACTCTCTATTGAATGTACTATCAAATTAAAATTATGCTTCTGAATGAGATAATGCTTTGGAACTGTGCATGTTTTTATTTGCACTTCTACTATTTAACAAGAGGCTCAGGTTCTCAGAGTCAAACTACACAATATATTAAATGGATGTCATGAAGTTTAACATATTGTTAATTGTGAAAGTAAATACTCATAGCATCTATCCAGGCTGGGACGAGGGTGCATAAATGGGAGCGGTTATTAACCTTCACCACATCTGCTTTTAATTTTAAAAATTGCCTCGTACATGAAAAAGATAAATATAAAACTCATTTCTTCCAATAACATTTTTAAAGCTTCTGTGTTGTGGGGGACTTTTTTTAAATGAGATAAAATTCAAATCTCACCCACCCATATAGACTGGTTTCAGTTTGGATTATGGCCACACATGGTCACTGTCAAGTAAAATATTGATCTTACTTATTTAACACACCCTGTACATTTTGTCCTGACAGGTTTGAAGCCCTGAGTCACGTATACATTGTTCACTGGTTTGCATACACACTGTATACCACAATTCTTAATTTAGCATTTCATGAGAAATCGCAGGACAATAACATCACAAACAGTGAAATGCAACACAAATCATCTGCTCCACCCCTATGCAATTATACTGAATTGACCACAGCCAATTTTAAGGCAATAGGACATAGTGATTTTAAGGCAATAGGACACAGTGGGTGTCATATTATTTTAATTTTGTGCAACTCATATTTTTTTAAAGAGTGTCTAGAAGAAAAACAACAGAATATTGATGTATGATACCTGAGATCTGTCAATGCGGTAAAAACGATCAGCAGAAGTTGCTGAAAGCAAGCAGGAAAAATGATATAAGAGAAAAACATGGATAAAACTTGCTGAAAACTTACAAGATCCTTCTTCTCAACTTGTAATAATAAAATTAGTAATCTTCATAATAAAATTACTCCCCACCCATAAGCACATACAGCAAGGCCCCCCTGGTGACTGCTGTAAAGCAGCGGTCCACAACCTTTTTAGCCCCGCAGACCAGCTGGGGGAGGTGGGGCACTCACCTGCACTTGTGTGCATGCACAAAGGAGTGTGGGGAGGCGGGGCACTCACCTGCACTTGTGCGCATGCACAAAGGAATGCACGTGTGCATGAGCAAATGGCGGAACAGTGTTCATGCAGGCACACTCACGTGCAGGCACAAATGGGCTTTGCGGGAAGAGTGCATGCGGGGAGAGGTCTCTCTCTGCGGCCCGGCCTGGCTCAGGCCACAGACAGCGGACCGATGGTTGGGGACCTCTGCATGGCTATAGAAACTATATATATAAAACAAAGGAATGCACGTGTGCATGAACAAATGGCGGAACAGTGTTCATGCAGGCGCACTCACGTGCAGGCACAAATGGGCTGTGCAGGGAGAGTGCATGTGGGGAAGAGGTCTCTCTCTGCGGCCTGGCCCGGCTCAGGCCACGGACCGTGGACCGACGGTTGGGGACCTCTGCTGTAAAGCATGGCTATAGAAACTATATATATAAAACATCACGTGTGCATGAACAAATGGCGGAACAGTGTTCATGCAGGCGCACTCACGTGCAGGCACAAATGGGCTGTGCAGGGAGAGTGCATGTGGGGAAGAGGTCTCTCTCTGCGGCCTGGCCCGGCTCAGGCCACGGACCGTGGACCGACGGTTGGGGACCTCTGCTGTAAAGCATGGCTATAGAAACTATATATATAAAACATAGTCTCTGGTTCCCCCTAGTGCCCAGGTCTGGTAATATACCTTGGAAACACATATTTCTGGGAGGGGGGCTGTTATTTAATATTTTTAGGCAGCAGATAAGTGAAATCATGGGTAACTGATCCCACAGATAAAGTGGTCCTACTGTATACACGTCTAAATCTAGTAACAATGGAATGATGCTTTCCTATCAGAGATCATAGAGATCACACATATAGAGAAGGATACACTCCTGCTAGGACAGTTTCTCTCTACATAGCGCAATATAGAGGTTATTTTTTCCTGTTATATTAGCAGCTATATGTAATAAACACAAACAGGATTTCTGTCTATATTGGGATCAAGTTCTCAAAAATATCCTTAATTTTTTTAAAATGTAAACATTGGCTTACATCTCATTTAATTAGCAGAAAAGGATGGAATTAAATGGTTCCTAACCCACATGAACCTGGTTACTTCTGTTAACTGTCAGAGACAATATTATCTTTTTATAAATCTGGGATTGGGTTTAAGGAAAGTGGGGTTCTTTTTAAAAATTTTATTTACTTAATTTATATATTACTCACTTTGCTTAGAAGGCCACTCTGGCCTTCAAAATCAAACAGAACAAACAGTTGGAACAATTTCTCCTATTCTTAAAACAGCTTCAGTCAGGTTATATCAGGTTTCCTTCCTATGCATACTTGTTTAGGAGTAAACCTATAGAATATAAGACAAGTAAACAAGGATAGCAGCTAAGTTACAGGCTGCCTGAATACTGCACCCCCTATATGAACTTTCTTAACTTCTAAGATCTTCAGGGGAGGCTCCTCCCAGTCCCAGTGCCATTACAGCCACATCTGGTGGGAACGTGAGGCCTTCCCTCTGTCCTCTCCTAGGTTGTGGAATGCCCTACCTCAAGAGGCTGGGAGGAAGGCAACATAAACATGCAATAAAATAGATAAAGTAAACTGGCATGTTCTTTTGCTGCAAGGATACCATTTATACTTACCGTCTAGGAAGCACCATCTAGGAGAAAGTCTCTGAACTGATGATACTCTTGGGAAAGAGCCTTCCTGGTCCTGAATAGGGAGAAGTGAGAGAAAGATCCTTTAAACAGTTACAGCCGTTGTTGTTGTCTTGTACACTGTGCTATTGTTCTAAATTGCCCCTTACATTTGGTACTAAACCTTCCAAAGATATGGAAGGAATATAGGGGGCTACCATGGACTTCATGGTGTGAAATAGACAATGGGCAACAACTGAAAAGAAAGAAGAATGTGGATGAATACTATTACACTACAGCTTAAAATTTTTATTTTTTTGTATTATGATTTCTAGGGCCATGCCAGTAGTTGTGGTCCTAAAACGTAAAGTTTTCAAGATTTGCAATACACACACTTGGTACTATTAAGAACAAGGAGTCAGAGGATATGTTGTAGGCAACACAGAGGAGATGTGTATTAGGATGTGTCTGAAGGAAGCAAGAGAGTTTGCACCATCACCACTATATGCTTGTTTCAAAGAAAATCTTACTACCTCCACCAGAATCTGGCCATGTTGTAGACATTGATTTTTGTATTTTAGACTCAGAAATGCTAACACTGAATGGATCATGGCAATGTTTACACCCAGCAATATATTCTGAAATGGAGGAACAATAGTTATGGAGACTGGTTATTCTAACACTGCAGGAGTGATGAACCACTTTTATTGTCAATAGAGAGGGGCAAAAACTAAACTATGGCCCAGAAAATCCAATCGTGACCCAGTTTGGGGGTCCCATTTTGCCAAAGCAAAATGAAACACCAAACGTCTTTCCCCTTGGTGCTTCATTTTGTTTCAGCAAAATGGGATGTTCAACCATCCCTTTGTGATGCCCTCATTGCCTTCCTACCTGCTCCTGCCACTGCCGCCTCCTTCTTCTCCACCGACCCCTCCTCTGCTGCCAGCACTTCCACCACCACCATTCTCAGAGGCAATGGGTCCAGCTCTGGGCAGGGAAGCCAGGCTTACTGCCTCTGAGGATGGCAGAAGAAGAGGAGGAGGCAGTGGCGAAGGTGGCAGCAGGAGCAGGTACAGAGGCAACAGGGGCAGTGGCAAAGGGGCAGGTGGACAGCACAGGAGGCAGAGGGCAGAAACTGGTAGGAGTTGATTTTTCCATTCCATTTTTCCAGAGCTTTGTTTTTCCAGGTGTTCGTGGTTAGGCATAGGTGAACCATCATGAACCACCATTTTTCTGGTCCATGATCATCTCTAACTAGGAACTTTAATGGAGCTCTCAAAGGTGCTGAATTTGTTTGAGGGGAAATATTCAGAACCTTGGATAGCTTCTGTGGAAGTTCTGACTAAACTCTGAAGCTGATTCATCACCACCACTGCCTGTTATATTGGAGTCAGAAGCCTCCACTGTTACTGACTGTAGTCAGCGTTAAAAGGCACCTTGAAGGAGATAGAGAAGATGTATTTTTGTATTCTAGCTGAAACTGAAGTGCATTGCCTGTCAGTCAGGGAAGACAACACTGCGCTTGATGGACCAGTGATCTGATGGTGTAAGGCAGCTTCCAATGTTCCTTGCGACTGAGATCTCACACCACACTGCAGAGCTTCAAAAGGATCACTTTTCAAAGATGGCATCTCACATGTTCAGGTGTTTGCAGCTGAGTGATGGATATGCACACCTGAATGATCACGCAAGGTGGATTCACAGAGCTGAAAAATTGCCCCTGGCATCAAATCATTGAGCAAGCCCAGCACCTCCACATTCGTAATCATAAGCAGAAAATCCTATCTTTCAAGACATGCTATGCACTGATGGGCACCCATGGCCACAGTAAAGTGTACTGAGCTTGGCAAAATTGGAGGCTAATTTTTTTGAAACAAGAAGACTTCAATCAGAGAACTATTGATATGTTTTTTTAAAGTTAACGATTGATTAAACTAAAGAAGGGGTCTCTACAAGGAGCCTTCTAGATCCAAATCCCATCCACCCTAGCTAAAATGCCCAGTGGGCCGAGATTATAGGAAGTGCAGTCCAAAACATTTAGTAGGTGCTGTGTATCATATCTTTGGATGAAGCTGTTGTGAAGCTACATGAGAAAACTACACACAAGATAAACTGTCTCACACGCAGCCAACTACCAATGCCACTGTTCAGATCCCTGATCTTACCCAGCAGAACAGATGCTCAGTTTTAATGTATGCCATCTAAAATACATACTGAGAAATGTGTATAAAATGTGGAACACTAGATTATCTGACGCATGGGTTTTAAAACTCCAGCAATCAGTACCGCCCACTAATGAAAGGCTTTAACTGAGCTAGCCATAAGCATCAGACTGTGAAGAAAGATAGCGCAGCAGGGCCAAAAAAATTGTAACTGAAGAGCAAATACCATCTGGACTGTGGTAGGCTCCAAAAATTGTTGTGTTCTTGGCACAGCCAAGTATTTCTGGTGTGTAGCAAGCCAGGATTTCCTCCCTGGGCATTTTTTATGATCAAAGCAATGAGGGCTTAATCTGGTGATTGAACAATTTCATCTCCAATCTCTTGCACCATCAAGAAGGTGGTTTTGTGCTGGTGACATAAGATTTCTACAGGTGCTTAACAGCTTTTTGTTGGCCCCTTGAGAACCTGTGAGTCGCTTCTTATTCCCTTCTGTCTCCAGATTTGATTAAAGCCATCATTCATATCACCCATTTCCCTCCTTTATTCTGTACGCCTCCAGAAACATATGTTCTGAATCCTGACACCTTACATAGACAACCATGAGATTCAAAAATATGGTTATTTTAGAAGGAATGTTGCACTTAATGCTGGCTTTGCAGATGTGATTCCTGTCATACAATCCTGAACCTGCTTCCCACACCAGGATTAAATAAAGAATTATGCCTCGGGCATATTGTTTTGCATTCCTCCACTTCCCTAAAAGCTCTGTTTCTGAGAAATTATTTCCTTTGCCTGAGAGAGAGTGCTTGGAATTATCATGTCTTTGTAATACCTGTTCATTCAGAAATGTATAAAATAGATCATTGTGATACTGCAGTTGCTTTAAACTTAGCTAGTGAGCACCAGCAGGATGGTAACCAAAGGGAGAAACAAAAAGGCATCAGCATGCCTGAGGGAACCTGAAGGTTTTTCAGATGTCCCAAAATTCTTTTGGGAGTGGGGAGAACTTAAGCAAACTACTCTGTTCCTCTATTGCCAAAAACATGTTCAGTAATCACAGCACCTCTAAAAAAATCAGTGCTGTTGAGCATTTCAACTAGTCTTCAAAATTCATCAGCCAATAAATTATTCTTTTCTCCTGCACTAATTTTCTCATTTGTTTTACCATGAATTATCATCTGTAATGATCTGTACTTCTTATTTCTCCTCCTGTGATGGATAGGTCCCAGCATTCAGCATTTTATGTGTGGTATGATGTTTGGTCGTTACACAATCATCTTCATACTTCTTTGCTGGTCATCCTCTCAAGCCAAGAAATTCTTCATGTGCTGGGATAGATCTGTGTTAGAGACAGGGGTATTCCTAAAGGTAAAGGTTCCCCTTGACAATTTTTGTCCAGTCGTGTTCGACTCTAGGGGGCGGTGCTCATCCCTGTTTCCAAGCCATAGAGCCAGCGTTTTGTCTGAAGACTATCTTCCGTGGTCATGTGGCCAGTGAGACTTAGACACGGAACGCTGTTACCTTCCCACTGAGGTGGTCCCTATTTATCTACTCGCATTTTTACATGCTTTCGAATCGCTAGGTTGGCAGGAGCTGGGACAAGCAACGGGCGCTCACTCCGTCGCGTGGATTCGATCTTACGACTGCTTGGTCTTCTGACCCTGCAGCACAGGCTTCTGTGGTTTAGCCCGCAGGTATTCCTATTCGTATACAAATACGAATATCCCCATGCAGCTGGAGTTAACAAGGATCTGCCCGCTAGGGCTGGACCGATCACTTACCTGTCCAGCAGCAGCCTCACTCATCCTTCCAGTCAGTCCCGGAGCCCCTGGCTAGCTACTCCAGGCAAAGGGAAGACGAGTCTCCCTGCACGGCTGCCGAGTCACCAGCCAAGCAGGAAGAGAGTGGGGCTCCGGGAGAGTTTGGAAGGATGAGCGAGGCTGCCGCCAGCAGAGGCATGAGTGGGCGGACCCACCCCAGGGGGCGGACCCTCATTGACTCCAGTTCTGCGGGGTTATTCGTATACAAATATGAATATCCCCATCTCTAATCTGTATATCAAATTTTTGTATCTCTGTCATGGTATACTATATTAAGATTGCCATACAGTAGAACTGAAATATGTAGCATTATGCACTGCACATTCTCAAAATCAATTTGAATTTATATATTATAGTCTTATCTTATATGAGCTGCTCTGGGTCATCTTTGTTCTGATTTTCTATGGCTATAATCCTTCAGCCAAGCCGTTCATTGTTACTGTTGTTGTTATGTGCCATCAGGCTGCTTCCAACTTGCAACAACTTTATGAATGAATGATCTCCAAGATATCCTGTCTTCAACTGCCTTGCTCACCACTTGTAAACCCAAGCTTGTGACTCCCTTTAGAGAGTCCATTCATCTTGCATTTGGTTTTCCTCTTTTCCTGCGTCCTTCAACCTTTCCCAGCATTCCTGTCTTTTCCAGAGAATCCTGTCTTCTTGTGATGTCCCCAAAATAGGACAGCCTTAGTTTGTCGTTGTTTTTAGTAACAAGGAAATTTCATTTAATTTTGAGGATGTGAAAAATGTGCTGGAAAAGTGCACTTTTCCCCCCAAGACTGACTCCTACCATCTCACAGCAAACAGAACAACTGTTTACATTTCTCTTTTAATGAATGAAGGGGCAGCATGTCATATTTGCACCCCAGTCTATGTTGAAGATCCTGGAGATCTTGTGGTGAGGTGATGTCATCACCACACAGGGGAAAGAATTAAGGAGAAAACTCGATGTGTATTCTATAACTGAAAGTAAGAAAAAGTAAAATAGAAAGTCCCTACATTAGGAGCAAATGATCTCTAGGGGTCCAGGGGCCTTGTAGGGTCATCTCAATTACTGAGCTATCCAGCCAGCCATGCAAGGATGGATGTCCATACATTAAATATATAAGAACAGCAATCAGGCTGAAAAAGGAAAGGAACACAAACTGGCATCAGTTGACAAAGTTTCTCATTTGCAGCTCGGTTCACACAAGAATGGTTTCTGCTGACTCTTCCCATTCCAAACTGCAGGAAACCCAAGAGACAAATGTGTTCTGTTTCTAAGCTCTAAAAGTGCCCCTGGTACCTTATTAGTGAGACATGGAGATGGTTTACTGTTTACTAAATGACTTGTGAGCCAAATGACTTGAGAGCTATTGTCCTCTTGCATGCTTTCACATTCCATAATTTATGCACAATTGATCACAGCCTTGTGGGAAAATCCTCACATTAACCCCAGCAAGGCACTTGTAGAGAATGTATAACTATCTGAGCAATCCGAAAGAACCAGTGGAACTGAAAAGGGGAGTTTCGTTCAGAATGAAGCATCATGAAGTATTTATGGTAGATGAAAAGCTTCAAAGAAGCTTGCTAGCAGAAAGTGATGGCTAATTCACAAATATCTGTAGCCAACAGCTGTGACAAAGCCAATGATCCATGAGGAAGACAGAGGTGGAAAATGAGAAAAATGGCCAATGTCAAGTGATGTTGTCCATGCAGGATTCATTTCTGGACTTTGAAGTGTGAGTCTTAGGTACTCTTAGATATCTCTTTCAAATATATGATTCTCAAATGTTTTCTTCTTGGTTTTAACCTGAGTTGGATGGGAAAGAAATCCTTATACCTATCCAGTCCCCACAATTTTCCCCTTCACATTAGCCCAGAGTCCCATCTTCAGATTTCAGACTGGTCACATTTATTCAGCTGGCCCAGAAGTAAGCTAGCGAAGCTATTTCCTGAAACACCTTGTCAGTGTCCACACATCTTCCCTTCTGCTCAGCTAGCCACAGTGAACCATCAAGGTTTACACAGGGTGTGTTCAGTTACTCACCCAAATATCTTAGAAATAAGATGAGCTGTTTTCCAATATTGTGAGATCAGAGCAAGGGGAAGCACAGTTCTTTAAAAGTAAAGTAGAGTGTTTGGACTAAAACTGAGACTAACTATGCCACACAATGGTCAAAATCCTGGAGCATACATGACACCTACAGAAGGGTGATGATGTCAGCAGCAGCAGGGATATATTTAGAAACTCAAGAGTTACTCTCTCTGTTCTGGTGATACAGATTACATGAGAATCCCCCTGTTGATGATGCCATCATTCTTCTGCAGGCACAGTTTACAGAACAGGATTTTGACCAGTATTATAAAGTTTGATGTACCTGTTCTATGGAATTCTGGGGAGATTATCTATTCCTATCAGATGCTGCTGAGATGCTGAACAACCTCAACTATTAATTCTTTTCTTTGCTTTATTCTTTCCTGGAGCAACTAGTAGTAAAATAAACAGAGATCTTGGATACAATCCCAGCTAATCTTCAAAATTTGAGCCATAATTCCCCACGAGAAATGTAGAAGCCATGGGGAAAAGGAAGAATAATTTAAAAAAAAACTGCCCTCATCAATGTTATACTTTAGTAAAATATACATTTTCAGCATCTACTTGAGCCTGTGTATGTGTTTCAGCATGTGGTGGAGAGTGGTTCTTAAGACACGTAATGGTAATAACAGGAGATCATCCTTTAAGGCAAAACCAGCTACAAGACAAATTCCAAAATTCTAGACTTTCAATGCATTCTAGAACTTCTTCAGGGGATCTTGTGCACTGATCAATAAATACTATTTAAGAGGGGGGGTCTAAGACAGCTTGACTTAACAGTCCCAACAACCCGGATGAATACAGCACCATTTTCTTTTTCCCACAGAATGTACTAGGCAACCTAACTCCCATATCAGCACATCTATTCTTATCAGAGATGTCCCTACCATTAGGCAGCGTGTCATGAAAGGGGGGGGGGGAAACCTGTCAGTTGAATTTATTTACTTCCACTTTTGAAAGTATTTACTTAGCACATCTCAGCCATTGAGGGCATTACACAACAGCTTCTTATCAGAGATGTCCCTACCATTAGGCAGCGTGTCATGAAAGGGGGAAAAAACCTGTCTATTGAATTTATTTACTTCCACTTTTAAAAGTATTTTCTTAGCACGTCTCAGCCATTGAGGGCATTACACAACAGCAAGAAGACAAAATATACCGTAAAACAGATATAGGGTCATTTTCACCAGCTGAATTTAAAAGTCACTGTTCTTTAAAATTGGATCAAGGATGCCATAAATGCCAGCTTTAAAAGCAATTTTAGACAGCAAGAGTGATATGAAACCATTTTGGCTGCTGGACAAAAAAAAAATCATCAGGCACCCTGACTTTCCTTGAGAGGAAATTATGAGCTTTGTGGCATCATATTTTAGACGGAATTCCACAAGTGAACAGTATCCAATTCTTTGGAAACCCCCTTCCAGCTGTTTGACTGCTGAAAGCTTGCCTAGATAAAAAAATTATTTGCCTACAGACAAAAAACAAAACAAAACAGAGAAGGCAGCAGCATAACTTCCCTTGTCATGGAGCTCCACAGCGAGTTTTTATTGAATTGCCAAGGGTCAGCCATAGGTAAAAGGAATGCAGCCAGTAGAAATACTGGTGCAGTTCAGCCTGGATAAGCCGTTTCTGTGTTGTTTTAGAAAGAAAAGAGATAAGAGATGTTTTACCTGGTAATGGACTCTCTGTGTATTTGAAGATACGGACTGTAAATCCTAGAGAAGGAAAGCCCAATGGAAACATTGATGAATCCAGAATCTGTTTCAATCTCCTTCCCATCCAAATCATCCCTGCTAATTTACTCAGCACCAAACTTCTTGATAATTATTACTCAGAAACATCATGACATAATCCAAAGGAATGATACTTTTCTGCCAAACAAAATAGTTCTCTTAATAACATGCAAAGATTCTTCCACATATCGGTGACCGACAAATAGCTTTATCTGAAACATGATCTGATATTTTCTTACTGCTCCTGAGGCAGCTGCCAGAGAAAGAAAGATATGGCTTGATTTCTGAAGTGAGTGATACTGGGACACAAACTTACCTAGGGGTCATATCCTCCCACTCTAATTCTAGCTTGGGCACTCAATTTTGACACAAGCATTCTCTATACGTGATGTGTATGTCCAAGATGTTAAGGCCCTGTTTGCCTTTATAAACAGCAAGAGCTATCTCGCTATCTGTGGCTGCTGATTTCTCGCTAGCTAAGCTGGCTACCAAAATGACATTTGGATATCTTCAGACAGCGTAAAATACTTTGTGGTTAGATTTGCCAGATGTTGCTAATTTCTTTTGAATCTGTGCCATTTTCCCTTAACGTTCTGTTTCTTACTCCAAGATCACCTCGGCATTCTATGGCATCATGGCTCCATTATCAAGAAGCAGTTATCAGCATAAGCTCAGTATGACAGCCAACTAATTGACTGATTTTAGATTCTCGAGCTGAATTCCTGCTGCTTAGTGTAGTAAGCCACAACTGGAGTAGGCTTATTGAATCAATGGAACTTGTGGAGAAGTTGACTGAACAAATCCCCAGTGATCTAATGGGCCTACTTTAGTGCAATCTACTACTATAAGCAACAGGATTTCAGCCATAGTATTGCAATGCTAGTAGGGATCACATAAATAAAATAAATAGTTTACTGAGTCCAAGCCCTTTTCAAAACAGGAAATCTACAGCTAAATTATTTTTGAGAGATGGCCATCCAACCATCATACAAACATTTCCAGTGAAGGAGAGTACACCATCTTCTAAGGTAATTCATTCCTATTACTGAAGAGCTTTTACCATTAGGAAGTTCTTCCTAGTGTTCAGTCAAATTTTCCTACTTACAATTTTAATCTATTATATCCCTAGAGCTGCAAAAAGCAAGCTTGCTCCATCTTCCACATGACAGTTCTGTACCCTTTCTCTGCTTTGTCTTTTCCACAGAACATACCTATCTTCCTTAACCACTCCTAACAGGACTTGTTTTCCAGACTCTTCACTATCTTGGTTACCTTCTTCAAATGCCTTACATTCTAGATTATTGATACTCTCCTTAAACTGTGATGTCGATTTATTCATTCATTCATGTTTATTCTAGAAGCCAATGATATCAGGTGAGACGGGGTGGCACGCAAATAAAAAGCAGAAGGAGATTGAAAGACTGAGTATGTCACAAAACAATGACACTTGTCATGTGTGAGTTTATGAAGATATTCTGTGCTTATGATCAACATCACTGATAGCAGCTCACCTCTTCCAGGCGATCCACATAGATACGACACGTCTCCAGGTCACAGTCTCCTCGGACAACTATAATTCCCAAAGGAATAGCTACAAGAATAATAAATAAGTGTTATAATCAAACTATGAATGCAAGAAAGGTAGTATTTCTTACTTATATGCAATTTCAGTTCATCTTAGATACTTCAACGCCACACATTAGAAGTGAGTCCCATTGACTTCAGGGGTCTTGCTCCCAGAATAGTGTATATTGCAAGAATAGGCATAATGCAACCTATAGCCTGCATGCTCCCTCCACCTTTTTTTTAGCCCCCATACTGCCAATAGAAATACACACACATATATAGACAAAATTACATGCAAAGAAAAGCGCAGGTTCTCCTTTGAAACCAAGCACAGTAGTCCCCCTGCACCACATTTTGCTTCCTGAAAGGAAATATTCTGTGACATTGACGTTCTCAGAAATCCACGCCCAGTTTCACTGAGTTTACGTGGCCCATGTCAGAAGGCAAAAAGTAGCCTTGGGACCCCTAGAGGTTTCTCAGCCTGGTGGGTAAGCTTGCAACCCAAATAATGTCAGCCCTTGAGTGTCCCTCTCAAATAAGGTTACCCTGCCACAATTAGTAATGATATCAGGAGTAGGGATGGGCCCAAAAGCCCCTGCTCTTTGCTCCAGTACAGGACATACACATTCAGGCTGTCACAACCTGTGCCGTTCTGGAGACACTGCAATGCAGTTATTGTGCAGGTCCCTGGCAGTGTCTGTGCACTTTCTCTGCAAAGACCCCATTCCTATGAATAGGGATGTCCAAAGGGCAAGGCCAGGTCATAGACTGAATGGTGCAGGTAGAACAGAAGGGCTCTAGTGTCAGTTTGCAGACCTGGGTGATATATTTTGTTTCTTCTATTTTGTATTTCTCCCTTTTTCTATCTCCCAGAAAGCCCCCGTTGATTTCCTGAGGCACCCACTGGGAAGGGAGTATAAGAGGTACCTTATGATGGCAACTGGCAGAGGCGTCTTGCATTCTTTCTTAAAAGAGTTATAGAAAGAGTCTGCACTTTCACACTTTTCGTCTTTGCTCTCCCTCCCACTCTTTCTGTTCCCTAAAATTACAGTCCTGCAGCCACTAGATCTTCATGATTTAATCAATGACCCTGCCACAAAAAAGGCAAGGGAGGTTCGATTCTAAAGTAAAGTGCTTACTCTCTTTCGCCTTTCTAGTTTTTCTTTCTCTTTCCCCACTTCTTAGCACATTTCATGAGTGTCAGATTTCATGCAAGAGATCCATGGGGGTGGCACTCCACTTTATTAATGCCTCTGGGCTCTTCATTCATAGCAGAAATACACAAATAACCCTAATTCCATTGTTTTTTGCACAGGCTTCTGAAGATAATGCACAGCCCTAATCGGGAGATGTTCTCTTCTTCTCAGCTATGGTAAAAACACAGCCCTCATCAGCACATCTGTGGACAGGAGGTTAGTTTAAGGACTATAAGGCAGGGCTTTGTCTGTTAATTCTCAATAGGGCTGCATACAGGACTTAGGGGGAAAAAAAACCTAATTACTAACCAAATGGACCTGATTCATACTAATTTGAATGAGGATTCATTAAAAGCAGAATGGCTAGTTTCACTTCCAGTTCAGCTGAAAAGAATCTATAAGTCAGTTTTTATCTGAGCACAAACTGAACTGGCTTGGACACAAATTCATTCAGCCTTTTTCTTTTAAAACAACAAATTTTGAAATCTGTCAGTTTTACGTGATCTGTCATGTCTCCAGATTCCATGAGCATCCGTGCAAAACATTGCAACAGCAAAAAGAAAGATATGTTGGTTTTCCAATGAAGTCAATCGTAGGCTTATACATCAGTTTGTATCCTGGGTACAAATCGCTCTAGATGGAACTGGGATTTATTTGGGAACCCCTTGATGGGCCTACAGAAGTGAAATGGGGGAATCATGCCCTGCCCTGCTTGTCGCTGTGTGCTCTGCTGACAAGCTGTCTCCGGCTGCCTAACAGTAGGACTGGTACTCTCCCTCTTGTGTTTGCTTGCTACTGAAGAAAGAGCAAGGGATGAGCTATGGTGGAAGCAGAACTAGGTTCTCTTTGAGGGCCACAACAGAAACATTGCCCTTGAAGCAATCATTCACTATTATAAAATACTTTCAAAAATAATCTCCCACTTCAAACTTTGCTTGGTTTAAGATTTCAAAGACAGGTCATGCTCAGTTTGAAGGGACAATTCATGCCATACTCCTTGGTTGCATTTAGTACCCTTAAATAATAATAATAAGAGTTCAGACACCATCGCAAAAAAACCCAAACCTATTTTAATTTGCTTCCTTGGATAGATAAAAATCTGCTTGCTTTCTGTAATTTTTAGATTTGCTTTGCCTCCTTTTTTTATAATATACAACCAAATATACAACCAAAAATATATGAAAGAATGTCCAGTTTTGCCACTCCCTCATTAGTAACTGCTCATATGCTGTTCTGTGTCTCTCCAAAACAATAACCTGTACATCACAACTGATAAAAAATCCGTGTGCTTTCAGAGGAAACCAGAACGTTAAGAGAATATGTTCATAAATTCTCATGCTCCTCTCCTGTACCTTGGTGCTATGTGAGACATTTAATGTGTATCTCTACAATTGCCAACTCCCAGTGAGTTTCTATAGCCAAGCACAGATTTCAACCCAAGTCTCCTGCATCCTAGTGTGTCACTCTGTCCAATGCAACACACTGGCTCTGTGATGTTAGGCAACCTACAAATTCCCACAGAACTATTACATAATAAAAAATAATAATAATGTGCTGTCAAGTCAATTCTGACTTATGGTGACCCTTTTCAGGGTTTTCTATACTCAGAAATGATTTACCATTCCCTTTTTTTAGGGGTGCCCTGGGATTATGCAGCTTGCCCATTAGGGGTTATGCAGCTTGCCCAAGGCCACACAGGCTGGCTCTACTTGTGGGAGGCACAGCAGGGAATTGAACTCCCAACCTCTGGCTCTTCGGCCAGATACCTAATGCAGCTTTTTTTCTGCTATTAAAGGCAGAATATTAAAGCAGTGCAATCATTAAACAAAGACGTGTGTTCTCTTTCTTCCCCCATGTGGTCATCCCACAATAGAAGCAGGGAAATACTGAACATAATATCATGCCTAATTTTATTTGGTTAATTTTCCCCCTATAAGAAACGAAACCAAATTCATAAAGTCCACACAGTTCTCCATAATGGAAAATAGAGAATAATAAAATGTGCATGTGGGAACCGGCATATTTATTGAGGCAGAGAAGATGGTCTTCCATTTTTAATAAAACAGCTATATTGTTCACTTTTTACAGGAGGAATTTGATTTCCGTGAGCAGCGCCTCCATGGAACAAACTGGATTAGGTTACTTTCTCTCTTATTATTTATTAGCTACATATGTATACCCTACCTTTCTTCCAGTGAGTTCTAGGCAGCAAACATGGCTTTCTACCTCCTTTCCAGCATCGACTAGCCCAATGCCATTCAATTAGTTTCACGATGGATTGGACTCAAACCCAGATCCCCCACTCTAGTCTAGCACTCTAATCATTGCACCCCTGGCTTTATACTTGCTCATCACTGCAAGAGCACACACCTTACAAAACTATTGTACCATTCTATGATTAGAGAGTACATCGCTTGCTGAGTTCCATAAAGGGAAATAAAAACAGACTATATAAAATAAACTAACCAAATATGAGAAAGATGCTTGTTCTCTTCAAAGACCAGTATGGCATCATTTAATTGCACAAAAGGTTTTCAGAAATGAGTTGTCTACCTCTGGAGAAGCCAAGATTAATCTCCCCCAAACAGCGTGCATGACGAGTTGTTAGACACGGCAGAGAAAAAATTCAATTTTAGATGAGGCCACTGATAGAATCAACTTGGTATTTCAAGCAAACAAGACGAGCTACATTTATTTACTCTGAGCCTAGATGATCCAGGTTATTACGCGGATGTCAGAGCATTTGATGCTCCATCATGAAGACATGTCTCAGACAAAAATCTTAATAACTTTCCTGCAGTACTCCCAAAGTGATAAATAAATGGTTCATTCTTAAACTGGTTTCCATGTTTTTATTCTGTCATTTATTGTTTACTTGTGCATGATGGATTTTTTTAAAAGAACATTAAAAAGCAATCATGGCCCTTCACGACTGACCCAGAATCTTCTGTTGCTGGATCGAAAGGACAAGACTTAGCATCCTACCTCTGCCACTGTACAAATGGATGCTGATGGGAGAAAGAGGTGGATCGTAGTTAGTGCTGGTGATGTGATAGCCTCCTGTGCCACACTTGAATACAACAAGCACTTTGTGCTCTCAGGGTAGGCCATACAACACACACAACCCTGTTCTCCAGAAAGTTCTACATTACCTTTTCCCCCAGCCAAATAGGAATGCTGAGTTTCAAAAGAAGGCAATGAGTATGTGTGAATGTAGATTAACGGGGTGGTCCTTTGTTTGAGGAGTTGGGAGAGAAAATATTGGGGTGGAGTTTGAAACCAAATCTTCAATGGGCATTTGGAGCTTGCATTTTTGAACTCATCTTTAAGGAAATATACTTGGCACAGACCTTTGCCCAGATTTCTGAGACTCTCGTATATATTTTTTTTCTGCCTTATGCACAATGTATGGCCTGATGAGAACTGGCTTAGGTTGAAACATAGCTTTTTGTCAATTTTTTTTAGTGGGCCAATAAAGGTATCAAAGGTTCGTTGGCTTTTTCATAATTGGAGTGTGGCTCTGTTTCAACACTAAATGTGTAGAGGTTGCAAAAGTTTGCTCCTGGAAGGGTGCAAAATGGCTGCCAGTGTATGTTGGTAGAACAATATTAAAATAAACCACCCTTCCTAAGCATGAATACTACTTTTGAGTCTCTGGGAAAATCTTTCTTAAATGGGAAAATGCAAAGAATAAGAACAGGTCACAGAACAAATGGTACAACTATAGGAGGACAGAAGGGCTTGCATCCAGGGCAACTGTGATCTGCAGAGCTAGCTGCTCTGTTTCATCTTTCCCTTTCCCTTTCCCTTTTGCCAGGAGAAAACACAACAGCTTCTTAAGGAAGCCACAAGGAAGGGAGTGAGGGACTGAGTTGAAAAGGGCAATTTAGTATGCTCATCTTTGATTTTTTTTTCCTTAAAAGAGCACTGCATAGTTCTCTTTCTTCACGCCACTTGGAATTTCATCTCTGTCTACTCGCTTTCTCAGTCCTCTCTTCTCCTGTCCATTTGAACAACAAGGATTAATAATCTTAGAAGTGCAAAGCTGGAAGGGACCCGACGGTTCATCAAGTCCATCCCTTGTCAAGAAGTCACAGTAGGGAATTGAACGCCTAACCTCAGACTCCACAGCCAGATATTTAAATCATTGAGCTATCCAGCAGTTGTTATTCAAGAAGAAGAAAAACTAGTTTACTTCTGTTGAAAAAAAAGATGGAAGAAATCTTCCAATATGATCTTTACAGTTTCCATCTTTTCTCCCTGCCCTGCTTCATTTTCTTTCTCTTCTCTGCATCCGAAATTAGTAATTCAGGAGCCTACATAGGCTCCTCCCCTAAAAACCCTTACTTTTTGGGAATTTTAAATACTATCTAACCTAAGAAATCTGTAGGGTCTACTAACCTGTCCCATATATGCCTCTTCCATCTCACAGTCACCCCAGAAATGCACAAATAGCTGTGATTTTGTTTGTATCTCCATACTTGTCAAAGGACAATTGCCCAAAGTCTATCTATTTTAACACACCCACATTGAGAGAGAGAGAGAGAGAGAGGCATATGCACACAAACACAGAGACACATTTCCTCCTTACCCTAGTAATTATCTTTATTAAAATATTCAGCATGAGCTGAAGCCTTCTGATTTCCAATCGAAAGTAGTTATAACAAGATGTATTGTTACACAAACCCATATTCTCAAGACACCTTTATTGTTCAGTTCTGGGGAAGAAGTGAGCAGGGACATCTAAACCAAATAACCATATTTCTGCAGGAACTTAAGCAAACCAATTAGATTTTTCTACTGCCTAATTATCAGGGAATCCTGTATGTATGTGGATGTTGAAGCTTTGTTACATAACAAACAGCCGTCCTTGTAAATGAATATGAATAATGAGGCAGATGCCTGAATAAGACTCAATCAAAGTGTTATCATAAGCACCTGCTTTGTGCATTGATTAATGACTCGGTGTGTGTCACTAAGGAAAGGGACTTCATTTTAAAGTGTTGTCACCAAGAACGTTGCAAGTTCGGCTGACCTCTTCCATCAACCTCTTTGTCATTAATTGTATGAGACTGTTCATTATTGTTGTGCTTTCTTCAGAAATTATGTATTGTTTTTCTCAGTGGAACAGCAAAGATTTTTAGGCTAATGAGGTTTTCATCCAAGTTTCAGTGAAATTAATGGGAATTTTCTCATCAACTACAGGGATGGTTCCATTAGTTCCATTTCTCAGTGACTACTGTATTATTCCATTGATATTAATCACATTTCAAACTACAAGAGAATGTGTAGTTCAGCACTTTGTGTAGCAGATTACACAACAAGTCTGCAGGTAGGGCATGACGCAATATCCACATGACACTGCTAACCCTGAGTATCTGGTACTTGCCAGGTACTTGCACTTGTTTTGAAAAGAGGGATTGCTACTTTTATCTGTCATAACCAACAGATGCCACTACACCAGTCCCAACCTTGGGTCAACAGACATTCTTGGACTGTAACTTCCAGAAGCCTTTACCACTAGTTGTGCTGGCAAGGGCTTCTGGGAGTTGCAGTCCAAGAACTGCCAAGGATGGGAACCACTGCAGTAAACCACACATAGCACTTTGTTGTCCTACTTGTCCATCTGGGTGGGGTCATCAGGGGGTGTGGAGCATCATGTCATCAATATGCTGAGGACACCCAGCTCTACATCACCTTTTCAGCAACTGCAGGTAATACCGTCCTGTCCCTCCGGCGCTGCCTGGGGGCTGTACTGCAATGGATGCAGGAGAACGGGCTGAGGCTGAACCCGGACAAGACGGAAGTTCTGAGGGTGGGTGGCCCTGTGGATGGTGGCTTGGGAAACTCCCTCATGCTTGGGGGGATGGCCCTGGCCGCGAAGAGTGGGGTCCGCAGCCTGGGGGTACACCTGGACCCGACGCTCACCATGGAAACGCAGGTGGCGTCGGTAGTCCGCACCACCTTTTTCCACCTTTGGCGGATAGCCCGGCTGTGACCTTACCCAGACACGGGGGCGCTCACTACCTTAGTACATGCACTTGTAATTTCTAGATTAGACTACTGTAATGCGCTCTACGTAGGGCTCCCTTTGAAGCTGATGCGGAAACTTCAGGTGGTGCAGAATGCGGCGGCCAGACT